CGCATAAATCGCGCAGAGTCAAGCACAGAGTCAATATCAAAACTTATAAAAACTGGGATGGTACCGGGAGCCTGTGAAGCTGCAACTGCTCTGAGCACGGCCATCTTGGGCCCCACCTCGAGCCAGTCCTGGGGGAGGGGCTCATCAGCGAGTACATGGTGTAGAAAGCACCTTCTCTGCCCATGGGACCCGGTTGAGCTCAGCCCGAATGAGCAAAATGGGTTTGTCTTCCTGTGGGCCCACCAGCTGCAGGAGGGTCTATAAGTCAGGTGCAAACTGCAAAGTGCCATGGGTTGTATCCGAAGGTGGCAGCCTTGGTACTCTTACCAAAGCTGGCTTTTGGGACATGGAATGTGACCTTTCTAGTGAGGAAGAAGCCTGAGCTTGTGTGTGAGGTTGAGAGATACTAACTGGATACAGTTGGGCTCACCTCATTGCACAGCTTGGGCTCTGGAACCAATGTCCTTGAGAGGGACTGGACCTTATTCTACACTGGAGTTGCCTGTGATGAGGGGCCAAGCTGTTGTAGGTCTAATCTTAGCCCCTCAGCTTGGCACCTGTATGTTGAGGTTTTCCTCATTAAATGAGAGGGTAGTTTCCCTGTGCCTTTGGATGGGGGGATGGGCTCTGACTGTTTGTGTCTACAAGCCAAATGGCAGGTAAGTGAACCAAGCCTTCTGGGTGGAGGTGCCAGAAGATGCTCCAGCTGGGGACTCCTTTATTCTGCTGGGGAACTTCAATCCCCATGTGGGTAACAAAAGTGTAACCTGGAAGGTTGGGAGGGCCTCTCTGATATAAACCCGAGTGATGTTCTGTTGTTAGACTTCTGTGCTAGTCACAATTTGTCCATCACAAACACCATGTTCAAACGTAAGGCTGTCCATAAGGGTTAATGGTACGAGGACACCCTAGGACACAGATTGATGGTGACTTTTTAGTTGAGTCATTTGATCTGTGGCCGTATGCTTTGGACACTCTGGTGAAGAGAGGAGCTGAACTGTCAACATATCATCACCTGGTGGTGAGGTGGAGCAGAGGATGGGGGAAGATGCAGGACAGACCCAGTAGACCCAAATGTTTAGTGAGGGTTTGCTGGGCATGCCTGGCAAAATAACATGTCAAAATGCTCTTCAACTCACACTTCTGGGAGAACTTTAATCACATCCCAGCTGAGGCGGGGGACATTGAGTCAGAGTGGGCCATGTTCCACACCTCTACTGTCGAGGTGGTTTTCTTGAGCTGTGGCCACAAGTTTGTCAGCACTACTCACAGCGGCCATCCTCAAACTCTGTGGTGGACACCCCAGGTTAGGGAGGCCGTCAAGCTAAAGAAGGAGTCCTATCGGTGCTTGTTGGCTGGTAGGACTTTGAAGGTGGTAGAAAAGCGAGCCAAGCGGGCTGCAGCCCTGGCTGTTGCTGAGGGAAAAGGTCAAATGTGGGAGAAGTTTGGTGAGGCCTTGGATAGAGACTCTTGACACATTTTTCACTTTTCTGTTTTAATACATTTAAAAATGTCATGTTTCAAGTTTCCTTTTGACAGATACTTTTTTTAATGTGATTAAATAATTTTTTTTAGGTATAAAGTAATTTTTGCAGCCACGATCTAGCCTTCAGAAATGGAAAGTTTGAAAGTGAGACATTCTTTTAGCCCTAAAATCCAATATAAGTTTGCAACTTCAAGTCAGCTCAAAACCCCTTAATGGTGATTAAAAACCAAGTTATGAACAGCAATTATTCCAAAACGAAAATAATGGCAAATACACAATAAACACATATGGATAAAGACTAACAATCCACACACACAGCTGCTTGCAGAGGTGGTGTTTAATATGCTGAGGGAGGCTGTGTGAGATGCTGACTTTGTGCAGTGTGCAGTGGAGGGAGGGGCACGAGATGGATTGGTGCAGGATCCCTCTCTTAAATGTTTAAAGAGTATTCACAGCGAGCCTCGAGGACGCCGGAGAGAAGGTGGCATTATAAATGGAAGACATTATGTGCTGCCACCGCCACTGGCAAGCCAAAGTTTCTCTGTGCACATATGCTAGGTAGGAAGTAATTCAACTCTCAAATGTGTGTGTATTTGTGTGTGTACTGAAGACAGAACTTCCTCCAGGGTAAATAAATGTGCTACAATAAGGAAACTAAATCAACACAAGCACTGAAAAGTCTTAGCTCAGTTCCTTTCACTCTGCCATGAAGAGCCTTATTTTCCATCTAACAAAGTTAAGTCAGGTCCTCTGGACGGATTCTTCTTGTTGAAACGTTTCGTCTTTTATCCAAAGGACTTCAGTCTGAGGAGCCACAACCAACTCAGTCTTATAAGTAGCACCTTCACATCAGGGGTGTCAAACCCACTTACAAAAGGGGGCCAAAATTAAAACTTTTTTCAAACTAAGTGCCAGTTTCAGAATCTACATTAACTTAAGTTAGAGACTCAACACCTTTTCTTGGTTGCAGGTTCCACAACACAAGTTTTATTGGTCTCATTTGATGTTCTCTGTTGCAGTTCTGACATCATAATCAAAGATTACTGAAAAAAATCAAGTGAAATAAGTATTTTACATTTAAAATAACATCTTGGGGGCCAGATATGATGTCAACGAGGGCCACCTTTGGCCCCAGGGCCTTGAGTTTGACACTTGTGACATAGAGGGTCAACCAGTTTGATGGTGCTCCTCAGGTTGAAGAAGTCTTTTGGATAAAAGATGAAATGCTTCAACTAAAAAGAAACCGTCCAGAGGACCTGACTTAACTTTTTTGGATTTTTCTACCTGGATTATTGAGTATGAATCAGGATGTTTAGAACCTTATTTTAAATCAATAAAGTCCATGCTCAATAATTCAGGTATAAAATGCAACGTTTTTCAGTCAGGTCATCTGGACAGTTTCTTTTTTTGTGCTGAAACGTTTCACCTTTGATCCGGAAGGCTTCATCAGTCAAGGAAACACACAACAAAACTGATTCTTCCTCCAACA